TCTGTAAATTCAAGGCCCGACTGGGCTACAGAGTTCCAGGACAGCCAGGGCTACACAGAGAAACCCTGTCTCAGAAAAAACTCAAAAAGCAAACGCAACAACAAAACAAAACTTAGCTGGCTGAAACAATTCCCTCCCCATAATAGAGTGAAACTGTGAAGTGTGGAGTCCTGCTGTGTGGCTGTGTATATCAACATTTCAGAGTACCAACTTACCTTCCTTAGAAATCGGGAGACCAGGGCTCAGTGCCACCATGTGCAGCTGAGAACCTGTTAAGATGGCAGAGTCCCGGGACTGGTGCAAAAGACAAACAGAACCTGAATGGTTGGTGGTGGTGGTGGTGGCAGCAGCTGAGCACGGTTTAATCCCAGCACTCCGGAGGCAGAGGCAGGCAGATCTCTGTGAGTTCAAGGCCAGACTGGTCTACAGAGTGAGTTCCAGGACAACCAGGGCTACAGAGAGAAACCCTGTCATGAAAATTGAAAATCACCACCACCAACAACAAAAACAGCACCAACTTGATGTCTTTCAAAGGAGTTAATCTCGGAAGTCAGTGCTTGAAATCACAAGCTTCTCCTGGACTCCACCAGGAATTTGACAAAAAGAGACGATACCAGACCAGAAACCAAAGCATAAACCACTCCTGCAGATGAGACTGATGAGCTCAACCTGGAGGTAGTTGTCTAGCTGGCCACTCCCCGCTCTGCCCCTTCAGGCTTTCACCTGGCGTGCCTCCCAACCCATTAACCCTTAAACCAGGATTCTTTCTAGAACACCAAATTAAGCAAACAGCGGCTCACATCAGGAAGTGGCACATGGCAGACTCTAAACACTTATTTCCATTGCAAAGGGTGACGCTGGTCTTCAGGGTGTCAGAGGGGGTCAACTCCCAGCAATTTTGGATGATTTGCTTTCCTTGCTCCTGAACCTCCCTTTTGTTTTCCTGGTAGCTCCAGAAATTATCGAACCAACCGCAAGAGCAACACTGGAGTTGGTTCCCTGATCCGACCCCTCCTCCCCGGTAATAGACCCTAAAGGAAAACCCAAGACAGTTCCTTCCATGTAACTTAATATTATCCCCTAAACCAGTCATTCTCAACTTTCCTAATGCTGGGACCCTTTAACATAGCTCATGTTGTGGTGACCCCAATCATTGCTACTTCATAACTGTTGTTTTGCTACTGTTATGAATGGTAAGGCAAATATCTGATATGCAGGATATCTGATATGTGACCCCTGAGAAAGGATCATTTGACCTGCCCCCACCCCTGATCGTGACCCACAGGTCCTAAATTAAGTCATCAATGAAGAACAACCACCAACAAATAAGTGGGTGGAAAGTCTATGTGTTCCGACATTAGCCTGCTCTCAGGGTGTGCCAGTCAGACAGAATGTGGTGTTTGCTCAGTGCACTTTACAGAACACGGGAGCTGGAGAATAAGATGGCTGAGAAGGCAGGCCTGCTGCTAATCACTCTCACAATAGCTTGGGACTGCCCAGCAATGTGTTTCCTCACCTGTGAGTGGGAATGTATACATTATTTAGTGTGGAATATATGTCTTAATATGCTGTCGGCCTTTTGAATAAGGCTTGGCACATGATTAGCACCTTGTTGACATGGGCTGTCACAAGAGACTTCCGCTTTGAGTACAAGGAAACAGCAAACTGGGATCATCTGACATCAGATGCAGTGCTTGTGTAACTGAACCACAGTGAGAAAAGCCAACAGCTCAGAATTCTGTTCCTCTTACATGTTACACGCTCACACTGATCCATGGTGTGAGCCCGGAAGACATGAGAACTCCCCAACAACAAGCAAGGAAGCCTGCAGTGAAAACCAGCAAGGTGGCCCTTGTCATCCATTCATCCACAGCTCAAGGGCTCAGTCTCCAAAAGTCACTGCACACTAGATGCTAAGTCCCAGGTCATATGGCTGTAAATCTGGGTTCCCTTGGTCCTCCCTCAGGTTCATTTTCCTAGAACAGAGCACAGAAGCCAGGGAAACATCCACCTGTGTGTGCTGGGTTATTATAAACGATACATAAGAGAAAGTTCACTGGGCAAGACACACCATTCTCCAGGAACTTCTCCAGATGGGATGGAATGGCTGATGAAACACTGACTACATAAGCATGCAGGGAAGCATGGGCAGCCATGTTAAAATGAGATAGACCAAATGGGGAAACCCAGCAAAGTGTCTCCTGATTGTCCCAGCTTTTTGTGCAGCCTAGCTTTCTTACAGCAGAGAGGCAGGAACCCTTTTGAAATGGAGTCTTACGCCACATTTCAAATAACTTACTTTTAATTTTATTAGTAGTGCTACTTTGACATAGTGCTGGGGATGGAGCTCAACCCAAGGTTATTTCCACTTTTCTAAATGTTTTTTACTTTTAATTTTGTGTCTGGGGGAGGGGCACATGAGTGTAGGTGCCCACAGAGGCCGGAGGCATGAGAGGGACCAGAAGCTGGAGTTATTTATACACAGGTGATTGTGAGCGCCCTGACGTGGGTGCTGGGAATCAAATTCAGTTCTTAAAGAGTGGTAAATACTCAACTTTTGAGCTGCCTCCCAGCCTCACAAAAGACAGAAAGAGAGAAGGAATATTTGCTTCCATGACCTGCCTTAGGGAAGAGAAATTCTCATTTCTATGATTTGTCTTGGGGAGCCAAGAATCATAAAACACACATATTATACACATATGTATGTGTACTGGGTATATACACACACACATGTGTATGTTTGCACATACATACATACATATGGGTACTGGGTGACTGTGTTACTGAGGAAGGAGGAAAATGTCCTATGCATTCTTTCTCTCTCTCTTTTTTAAAGAAACTATCTTGATGTGTGGCCCCAGGCTGGCCTTGGAACTCACAGTAATCCACCTGCCTCTGCCTCCCAAGTGCCGATTAAAGCGTGCACCCCCACACTAGGCACCACATGCATTCTTCATGCAAACCTTCGGGAGGAGCACAAGCTCTCAGTGCTTCAGTCAGCAGTTTTCCCAGTGCTCACAGCGAGGAAGATCAAGTGTGTTACAGAAGAGGGGAGAATTAAGATCTGGCAAAGGCAGAGAAGGCTTGTCCTGAAGAGAATGAGGAGCAGTCTCTCTCAGTGAGAAAGTGAAAAAGAGGAAGGAGACGACCCCGTGCACCCAAGTGGTCTCGTTCTTGTTGTTCCCACTAACCCCTGAAAACCAAGAGAACCTGGTGATGCTACGAAACCTCGGCAAGATGTGGAGCAGCAAGACACACAGACACACGTGGCCATCAATCGGCGGCAACCCGGAGACACATGGCCATCAGCCTTACGAAAAAGCCAAAGGAAAATATAAAAAGGTCTTGCTGCCTATGGAGGCAAAGGAAAACTCGATGCAGCAACACCGGGAGTTGTCGAGGCTGAAAAAAACAAGAGGACAAAGGAACAAACGGAGATGGAGACAGGTAGGTTAATTCCAGCAGGTGGATATATATTCCTATATATATATATATATATAATGCAGATGGTTGTGAGCCACCATGTGGTTGCTGGGAATTGAACTCAGGACCTCTGGAAGAGCTGTCAGTTCTCTTAACCTCTGGGCCATCTCTCCAGCCCCCTGATGGTTTTTCAATAGCACTAACCTTGCTTGGTATAGGGTGGGCCTTATGTTTTGAATGGAAATGCAAAGCAGGTATTTTTTCCTTTTTTATTTTGTTTTCCAGACAGGTTTTCTCTATGTAGCTTTGGAGCTTGTCCTGGAACTCACTCTGTAAACCAGGCTGGACTTGAACTCAGAGATCCACCTACATCTGCTTTCCTGAGTGCTGGGATTAAAGGCGTGAGCCACCACCACCTAGCTAAAGCAGCTTCTTCCTTGTGTGGTTTTCTTTGACGTAACTTATACAAAAATAATTGCTCTGTTGACTAACACTATTTGCAAAAAACACAAACACATATATAAAAAATCCCCCCTATGCACACTCGTGTGCGTGCACAAACACACCCCAGCTGTTTGTTCTGTTGCCGTTTTGAATACTTTTAAGAAAAGTACAGTCTTTGTTATTAGTTTTTGAGACAAGGTATATGTCTCCTTCTGTAGCCTTAGCTGGCCTAGAACTATATAGACAAGGCTGGGCTTGAATTGAGAGATCCACTTACCTCTGCCTCTTCAGTGTTAAAAGTGTTTGCCAACATGCCCTGTCCAGAAAAATACATTTTTAAGAGACTATTTTTATGTGTATGAATATTTTGCCTGCATGTATGTTTGTGTACCAGATGCATGGAGTACCCATGGAGTACAGAAGAGGGCGCCAGATCAACCTGAAACTGCTGGGAATTAACCCTGGTCCTCTCGGACCCCAGAATATTTAATTGGTGGGGGATAAAAACATATCAGGTGACGATATATTTTGTAAAGAAGCCTCCCCTGTACTACAACTAAGTGCCTATCTAGAGCCAGTTCCTTCCCAGGGCCTGGCCCTCACCTTAACAAGGCCTCTAGGGGGCAGTATAGCAAGAGTACACTTTGAGCAGCCTTGGAGACAAGAGCACAAGGGGTGGCAGTCCCCACCAAATCCAAGAAAACTTCTCCATTCCATTTGTAAAAACAGTGTAGGAACCCAACACTAAATATACCCTGCTGCTTCAGTGGCCTGTTTCAGGGGGAAAAAAAAACAACAGGACAAGAATGGCAGGGGCAGGCTGGGGTTTCTAAGGACTGCCTGGTTCTATTGGCAGTAAGCAACAAAATGTTCTTTAGCGTTTGCATGGCTTTTTATGGTTTGCAATGTGTATGTAGTTCACAAGGAAAACAACTTTAATGTCCAGGACAGGTAGACATGGGGCTAGAATAAGGAAACAAAAAAATGGTATTTGGAAGAATGATGAGACCCTTCCCAGAAAACAAAACAAAAAACCCTTGTGAACATTACTGAATTCTGGTATGTATGTCCCCAAAAAGCTTGTTCCAAAACGGAATATATATAGTGCTATCATAAATAAAGGCACACGAATATCAACTAACGACTTCAGTTTTTAATAATAGAAACAATTTTGCCATTCCAGACACAATTTCAGGGGAGAAACATCTTCCCTATAAAAATAAAACTTAAACTCATCAACATTATAAATATAGCTTTTAACATCTAGATTTAAAATGCTCCCCTGCAATTAAAATGCTCCGCCCTTCATTTAACACCATTCCGGTACCATCACATTCTGGAGAGAAAACAGTATTACAGCAAAGCTTAGTTTCGTTCTACTGAAGGATTCGAACAATGGTTGCAAGTAAAGATCTTTGGCCTCTGGAGCTCTTTTTCCTCTTTTATGCTTTAAAAAGGCTGCTGTAGGAGCCAGTGTTTGGGAGAACAGCAGTCTTCAGGAACCAGGAACTGGCAGATCTTCAATACAGTCAAGTTCCCCAGTCACAAGTGTAGTGCACAGGACAGTGATCAAGGTTTGGATGAATACAGATGAGGATTCCTGCATCACACACTCTACTTCAAGTAAAAATAAAATAAAATAAAATAAAAAAATTCACAGACAGCCATCAGCCACTACTTTTAGATTCTAACAGGGTCTTAAAATGAGAAACTAGTGCTTCGCACACTCTAAGATTACTGGGAAGAGTAATTAGAAGACCAGGTGGCTGGCGACAGCACACAAACCCAAGCCACAGTCAATAGTAAAACCAGTACAGAAACCATGAAGGCATTCCCTGAACAACAAAGGCAAAGTGTTGGGTGACAATGTCACTAAAACCTCACTGATGCACTAAAAAGAAATTGCATGCAAAATTAAACAAGATGTGCCATTCATATTTTATAGCTAGTTCTGTTTTTGTTTCATTTTTTTTCCAACTCTTCCTAATAGCTTAGAAGATCTGATTGTCTCTGGAGCTGGTGGAGCACAACCCACACTCGGATATGCCTCCCCCCCTCCCAGGTGACGTTCTCTGACAAGTCAGGAGAGCCACCATGAAGGGACAGATACTCAGTCGAAGGCACGGTTCATAGAAAGGCAAATAGCTGGAGCACCTTGGAATTTCCAAAAGAATCCATTAAGTGTCACCGCGTTAACAATTCCTTGGGAATTTATAAACAACAGCAATATCTATCTAGACTAAAACCAGACCGACTATAAGGCCCCTCCGGAAGCCCAGCTCGCTGTTCCCTCTGCTCTTGGATTTGCAAGCTGCTGCGGGAAATGAGGCAATTGTGCCCGCCTGTCCTCGGGAAGGCTTCTATTGCACACACATTTCTTTGGTTGGAAGGAACAGATACACTTCTGTTAAAATAGTTCCATAATGAAGGCCTGTTGTGCGGCCAGCTGGGTGTGGACTCCTTCTTTGGGGCTCTTAG